TATCCGCCTCCCCCTCTCTATTTATTTCAGAACCCCCTTCCCCTCCCGCATTTCTGAAGAAGGGTCTAGGCCCAAAACATCAGCCTTCCTGCTCCTCTGATGCTGCTTGGCCTGCTGTGTTCATCCAGCTCTACACCTTGTTATCTCAGATTCTCCAGCATCTGCAGTTCCTACTATCTCTAAACATTGGGAAGTCTTGTTTCCACTGTAGAAGGAATTGATGAATCTGTGTCTGGAGTGTTGTGTACAGTTTGGATTTCCTTATTTGAAGAGGGATAAACTCGCATAGAAGTTCCATTCACCTGATTCTGGAATGAACAGAATTGTCTTCGGAGGAACAGGTGACCAGGTTGAACCTTTACTCAACTGAGTTTAGGAAAATGAATGGAGATCATATTGAAGCTAAGATTCCGAGGACGACTATCAGAATGGATGCTGCGGTGATGTTTCCAGAACCAGGGTCATCGTTTCAAAACAAGGGCGTCCCATTTAAGATTGTTTTGGAGGGTCATTAGTTTAAGGAATTCTCTTCCCCATAGAGCAGTGGAGGCTAGGCTGTTGCTTGTGTTCAAGTCAAAGTTGGACAGATTTTTGATAAACAAAGGAGTTGAAGGTTACGAGGGTAGACAAGGAAGTGGACTCAAGATCACAATCCGATCAGCTGTGATCTTATTGAAGGATGGAGCAGGATTGAGGGGCCAAATGGCCTACTGCTACTTTATATAGGCTTTCTTCAGCCTGATGTACGGGAAGCAGAGAGGTCCTTTGCATCTGTATCTCTTACACAGAAGGGTGTAGTGATCAGCTGTTTTTATTAAAGTTGGAGGAGATTTTCTCTTTTTGGGTGTTTGTCACTGTAGTTTAGATTGGTTGACCATCCCGGTTAGTTGTAGTTGAGATTTGGTGACAGAATTACAGTTGAATAGAGAATCAAAACAACCTGGAGCTTGAGGAAATGTCCAGACCCGAAACATCAACTTTCCTGCTCCTCTGATGCTGCTTGGCCTGCTGTGTTCATCCAGCTCTACACCTTGTTATCTCAGACTCCAGCATTGGTAGCTCTTACTATCTCTGGAGCTTGAGGAGACTTGGTGACCACACTGGGATGGGGTGGGTGTTCTGTCAGGAAGGCATTCCCTTAGCTCTAAATCAGAGTAATCTCCAGTGTTGACATTTCTGCCTGATTTTCTGTTTGTGACTGGGATTGAGTTTGGTGCTTTGTGTCTCTCTTTCACTGTCTGGCTCTCACTCTTCAGCTCTGGCCTCTTGAAGTTGGGTTCTCTGCTCCGTTCGATGGGGTGCTGGTACGTACTGGGCTAGTTTGGTTGACCCACTGCATGTTGTGTTCTCATTTCCTCGTTATCACATGTAACCCACTAAGCTCCCACATTCACTCCATCATTAGTAGTTGCTTGTTTATATCGCATGTACTGTTGTGTTTGTCTTGCATGCCAATTCACAAGATACAATCCTGAACCCTGCCCTTCACAACTTCACTTCATCGTCATCTCCTTGCCTGCTGTTCCCATTATCCGTATTGCCAAGGAAATATTCTGCCCCTCCAGACTGCCAGTAGGCAGACCAAGGGGCATTATTAATTGCTGCAAATGTTCCCGATCTCAGCCATCGACATGGATAGTGCTGGAACACTATAATTCTGTAAAGGTTTTTGGCAAATTTCAGTAAGTCAGCACCAGTGCTACAGACCTGATACAGCCACTGCTGAGCTCATCCCACTATCACCCTTCAAGGTACCTAGTCAAGCCCACCTTCCTCCCGCCTTCTCCTTCACCCAACCCCAGCAATGGAAGACGAGACGTAACTGGCATTATTCATGTTAGAAACCATTATCATCAGTTCTTCAATTGAACTCTCTTTCTCTCTGCCCCCTCCCCCACTCAAGCCTCTGTTTGTGGTTCAGTTTTAGAGTGACCCCCGCGATCACTGTCCAAGCGTCCAACCTTACTGCAAACCTGGAGTCAGTCCAAATACATGGGGGGGGGTCCACTGGGTCAAGATCCAGGGTGGACTTGTATCCTGACAAAAATAGATCCCCACAAACAGCCTGACTCCAGGTAGAAAGTCAGACGTCGTCAGGGCTCAGTAACATTGATCATCATCTTTTCCCATCTCCCTTTAGAGCAAAGGACCTCGGAGTCCAAAATCCACTGAGGAGAATCCCACAAAGTTGGGAAGCTTGGATGAAGAAGAGCCTTCAGACACTGACATGGAACACGAAGAGGAAATCCTGATGGAGCGAATCCAGTCGATAAAGGAGGAGAGGTGAGTCACGGGTGAATCATTGAGATATACTGACTCTCGCTGGGGTACAGGACATGCACGTGCGTGTTCTCAGTAGGATACAGGTGTTTCAATAACTCTCTCTCTGTTCACACCCATAGGGATCAGCTGACACTTGAGCTCCCAGAGTTGGAACAGAGAGGTTCTGATGAGGAAAACTTGGACTCGGAGGCTTCCCTCAGTATGGAGAGTCTGCTCGACGATCGGCCGGGGCAAGGGGAGGCCGGAGGTCAGTAAGAAAAGTAGGTTGCAACCTTGTCTACTTATGAATTTGAGGTTTTTGCCCCTTCTCTAGCTGTGGAATTAGCGGAGGCTCAGTTTTATGACACGAGACTGCATGCTGCCGTGTCTGTGTTTGGGCCTCAATGAGTTGGGAATCTAGTGCACAGCTTGTGAGAGATGAACTGTTGGGTGTAAATAAGTAAAATCTTTCTCTCTGTTTCTCTATCCAGATGCGGCTGTGTTCCAGTTCACAGGAAGACTCCGAGCCCTGCCTCAGTCTGTGCCCATGCTACAGCCAGTACCTGCCAAGCATGACCATGGTGCTCCCCTGGGTAACTGTGCCTCTCTGCCAGCCCATCCCTCTGTTGCCCAGCGACATGCATTTTCCATGCTTGCCAGCATCAAGTTGCCTCGGCGTAATGCTGCATTGCCCACACGTAACATCAAGCTGCCCCCGGGTATGGTCAGCACAGTGCACCATGTCCCTGTGGACGCCAGGCAGCAACAGCAGGTTGTCAGTGTACGGCTGCGCGAGCAGCCCTCCAGGCGATCGGACAACATTCACTCTGTCTACGTCGTCACGCAAGAGGGCCTCTCGCTCCAGACTTTGGCTCAGACTGATGACATCAACCCCACTCCAGCAAAGGTTCAACGCAGGTTTTCTGATCCGCTGTCAGACCTTGCTCATGGGGCCAATGCCTCTGGCCTGTAACATTCCCACTAACTCCAGGAGGCAGCAGTGGACATTTCCTGGGTTTATAAGCATATCTCCCACTTGACCTGCCACTCAGTGCCCTGGTGAAGAGCCGAGAGTGAGCGATTAGCGAGAATGAGTGACTGAGAGTGTGTCTACCCAGGCTAAGCGTTAGCTTGAGTCAATGTTGCGTACGATTTACTTGATTTACTTTACTGTAAAGTCGTCAGCTGAATGGGGAACTATCCGACATTTATGACTCTGGGAGGAGGGGGGAGTCTGAGCTCCTGCCCTGTCCCTGTGTAACCATTTCTCCAATGATTAAATACAATTTTTATATATAAAAAAAAATCCATTTGCGTTTGTCACAGTGTGATGCTGATCCGCATGCACTAGAGTTGGACTGAGTGAAAAGCCTTAACAGCTCAAGCTACTAACCACCTCCTCTCTTCAATGAGGCCTGTTTAAATAGGATAAGTGGTACCCTAAACAACAACTTCTATTATCTAATTATCTACCCAGCTTTTGTTTATCAAATCATTTAAAAGCAACATGGGCCACTGGTAAATACAAGTATTAGGACAGGTTACAGAGATTAAATTTAAAGACAAAAGAGCTGATTTCCAGAGGTGAGAGTGACTGCCTTTGACATTGAGACCATGTTTGACCAAGTGTGGCAGCAGGAAACCCCCTTAGCCAAACTGGAGTCATACCTGGCACAGAGGAAGATAGTTGTGGGTTGCTAGCAGTCAGTCTCTCAGCTCCAGGACATCTCTGGAGCCAAAGCCTCCTGACTCAGAGGCAGGGACATTATCACATGGGCTGACCCCTTAGAGGAGTGTCCTAGACCCAATCATTTTCAGCTGCTTCATCAATGACCTTCCTAACATCACAAGCTCAGAATTGGGGGGTGTTCACTAATGACTGTATAAATGTTTGACACCAGTTGTGAAGTGTCGGGGATTGAGTGGATAGGCTTGGCCCAATTATGTGGTGAGTACTGTTTGTGCCCCACAAGTACCAGGTACTGACCACCTCAAACAAAAATAATCTAACCAACACCCACCATCGACGTCCTGAGGGTTACCATTGACCAGAAACTGTGACTACAGTGATTTAAGAGTCATGGAATTTTCAGCGTTTGTGGTCTCAGCTATTTCAGCATTAGCCTTGATTATGTACTCAAGCCTGATTGTGGAGTGACAACATAAGCATATTCATCTGCTGGGAGGAGAGAATTCACAGCAGGCTCTGAATTGACAAGTTAACTACCTCAGTCTGATCATTTAGAGCAACACAATGAGTTGAAGGATAACTGTTATTCAAAGGAGCTCACAGACCAATTGCAGGAAGGCACTTCACTGCTTTGCTGACAACTGAACAAAGCTTTTGAGTTACTCTGCTGACCAGTTAATGTTCACAGATGGATGAGCCAGTAAATGGTCAAAACTCTCTCAAGCCAGGCATAGGTAACAGGCAACTGAATTTGTGTTTAGATCACAGCCCTCCACATAGAGGAGGCCTTTGCCTCTGAGCAAGCCCCAGGAGACCTCACATCTGTCCAGTGAATTTGTGCACTGGTTAACTATTCAAGCCAATCACAAGATGGGGTAAATAGGCTACTTCTAACAGCTGGAAGTCTGCTACACGTTGCCTCACATAGAGCACACACACAAGAGAACCACAGCAATCAAGAAAATATTTTTTATAATGTCCCAGTGTCTTTGCTTCAGAGGTTGATTCAGTTGGTCAGAACAGCATTACACAGTGTGATGCTGATCCACATGTACCAGAGCTTTACCAGATTTGGTCCCTACCTCCAAAGTGGATCTCACTCTGGTAAAATATAAGTACAGCTTGAAGCTGCTAGCCAGACACACACAATTCAATAAGAACATTTTATTATAATTATATAAACGTGTCACTTGATAGGAAGCTCCATGCGCTCTTTCCCCCCCCCACCCCAAAAGAAATAAATTAATGTCAAATCAAAACAGGTATATCAACCAATCTGCAGTCTGTCACAGGCTCCAAGTCAATAAGTTTAAATGGAATGAAAGAACTGGGTTGGCTCAATTCCTGTAACTTTATTTACAATACCTGAAGTAATAGGAGGCCCAGAATGCTCTGAATTGGAAAAAAGAACGTATTTGAGAAATTCTGCAATTGTCTGTAGCCTGCCTCTTAACGAGTGTTACTCTGGCAACAACGTGTCAGGTTCTTGCAGCGATGATGACTGACATAGCCACACCTCCAACTGCAACCACTGTCGCTCCAAACAGCCACTTCCATGGAATCTTCTGGAAAAGCCAAGATGAGATACTGGTTAGGGTAAGGGTTAACCATTACGCAGTAATTATCCCCCTTTCCAAAGCTGAACAAGGTAGGTATAATTGAAAGGATCTCATGAGGGGCAATTTGGTTTCAGTGCATTGCGAAAAAGCACATTTAACAGTCGACAGGAAAGGCCTGCCTGATGGAATAGTCCACAGATTTATAAACAGAAGAATACAACCAACTATAGTTCACAAATTAAGTTAAAAGATTTCATTATTTCAAAGGAAGTGGCTTAGGTGATTGCCAGAAATAGTTCTAAACCTGAGGATTTTGAGTAATTTCAAATCCAGCAGAAGGATGACTGAGAATCTGAACAAGAAAGGGACAAGAGGAGATGAATGAATATGAAAGCAAGCCTGTGAGAAACGAAGGTGGACTGCAGAAACTTCAAAAATGTGAACGATCACAAAAGAATTCACAACAGGGGAATAAACGGAAAACTAAACAGTTGCTTTATTTCGGTCTTCACATACGGTACTGAAAATATCTCCCAAAAATACAAAGCGACCAAGGGATTTGAGGAGCTAAAAGAAATTAGTATTAGTAAAGATGTAGTACTTGATAATTCCGCACTG